CACTGGGTAACTGAACTGGTTCGCAGGGATGTTTTAGACAGGCATTCACCTTGCTGCCATAAGAGAGAGAGTTCTGTTGCGTCTACTCCGATCAGCACATGCTTTGGGATGGTTGCAGCTGTTGGTGACTTAATGGAAGATTGTGGGAAACTGAATTAGATGGCTTTTTACAGTAAGTGATTAAACATACACTCACCCGCCACTTTATTAGGTACACCTTGCTAGTACCGGGTTGGACCCCCTTTAGACTTCAGAACTGCCTTAATTCTTTGTGCCATACTTGCAACAAGGTGTTGGAAACATTCCTCAGATACTTTGTCCATACTGACGTGATAAAATCACACAGTTGCTGCAGATTTGTCGGCTGCACATCCATGATATGAATCTCCTGTTCCACCATATCCCAAAGGTGCTCTATTGAATTGAGATGTGGTGACTGTGGAGGCCAATGAAGCGTAAGTGTCACTAGACCCTTTTTACTGGGGCACGTGCCCCTCTATTCATTTGCTGTGCCCCAGTAAAATGGTTTAAACCTCTTGGCGTCGTTTTTGGACGTGTAGGGCTCTGCAGTCAAGTTAGCAACAATAACGTTACATCTGCCACAGTGTTTATAAACTGCAGCTCAGAAAATATAACATGCGTACATATGCACATGCATGAAATTAAACTTGTGCATTCCAGCAGCAACATGTGTGAATAGTGCAGATGATACACTCATAGGCATGCATCATTTAAAAACAACTGACCCTTCGCTAAGCCACCCCCCGAACATGGGGTTGGCCAATCACAGCGCAGTATAGTTCTCGCTCTAACTGAGGTCCGACACTTTCATGGCTGTGCTAAATTGACTCTAATGTAAAATGAGACATTTTCTAGCTTTCTTTTGCCATATTTTTCCAAGATGATCAAACACTGTTCCTGGGTCACTTGTAATAGTTACAGTCGCTACCCAGAGAGGTTGAAAGGAGAAGTATGATTCATTCCCTTTCCAAAACCTAAAACAAATCCAGAAAAATGTAGGCTGTGGATTGTTCCTAATGTAATGTTTGTTAGCTAATGCTAGCTAACTTACTACTGAATGTAATGTTATAAAGTCCTACTGTTCTGCTTTTTAATGATTGTAATAGTGAACAGAGACCTACCCAGCTGTACAGAAACAATGTTGATCCTTAATATCGTTGTCCTCTTTCTCAGTAGTCAGGTGATATGGTGATTCACTTTTACTCTGTGATCAGTAGGCTTTAACTTCTATCATTATTTTTTCACATCAGTTTGAGTCAGTTTGACTGCCTGAATACAACCTTCAAATACACAATGCAACTGCAAAACTGTTTGCTTTATTTGAGATTGTTATTTCCAAAAATTAGACAATATTTCTCCAGGGAATGCAGTATTTAACAGTGGCAGCGGCGTTATAAAAGTCCGTCAGGTCCGACAGTTTGTCGGACTTTGCAACAGTAACTACGGGGGGCGTGGCTTAGTGAAGGTTGGACTGGACTGATGCAAGATGGAAAGCAATGGATTCACATTGACTATTGACTATTAAAATGTTGATTAGCTGGACAGACAGGACAATATGGATGCACATCTGTATAATCTGTATAATAAGCATCATGTATTCAGCGAAGTTATAGTATAAATAGAATATAAACGGAAACCTGGTGGAGCCAGTTTGAATGGACCTGATGCAGCTGATATAATTACTAAGCATTGTAAAGATGCTTAAGTTTGTGAGTAGAGTAGATGCTGAATCTTTAGCCAGTACAAGCCGAGTTGATCCACATCCAGCCTCAGCCAGTACAAGCACAGCCAGAGATGTACAGGCAGCATCAGATACAAGCAGCTCAGACACTAATGGAACAGTTGCTGCTCCACCAAATGACCCAGCAGATTGGCCCCCAGTCTTAACAGACTTTAAGGACTAAGATAGCTCCATCCAAACCAGCACTGATTTTTCTAGAACAAGTTTGTATTCAGGCTTATTACAGAGATTTTAAAGGAGGGAGGATTTTAGTGAGAGCATTGTGGTGTCAGGTGTGACTGTGCAGCATTGGCATTTTGTTTACATGGCTCACGAGTCAGGCCCCATAGCAGAATTTTGCTTAGGGCCCCAGTGAGGACAGGACCGACTGTGGTGGGGACAAGTATGTGTGCAAATGCTCCGGTCAAAGCCCTTTCTGACATGGCAGTGCCAGTAATGGGTAAAGCATGGAAAGCTGGTAAAGCAGATTGTAAGACACTTCATACGCTTTCAAAATATTATATGGGTGATGGGGGGCCTGTGCCCCAGTAGAGCTTTATGTCTAGCAAAGCCCCTGCATTGGAGAGCAGTGAACTCATTGTCATGTTCAAGAAACCAGTTTGAGATGATTTGAGCTTTGTGACACGGTGCATTATCCTGCTGGAAGTAGCCATCAGAAGATGCGTACACTGTGGTCATAAAAGCATGGACAGCGGCAGCAACAATACAGATAGGCAGTCCCATTTAAACAAGGCTCACTTGGTACTAAGGGGCCCAAAGTGTGCCAAGAAATATCACCCACACCATTACACCACCACCAGCCTGAACCGTTGATACAAAGCAGGATGGATCCATACTTTCATGTTGTTTACGCCGAATTCTTACCCTACCATCTGAATGTCGGAGCTGAAATCAAGACTCATCAGACCAGGCAATGTTTTTCCAATCTTCTGTTGTCCAATCTTGGTGAGCCTGTGCGAACTGTAGCCACAGTTTCCTGTTCTTAGCTGACAGGAGTGGTCTTCTGCTGCTATAGCCGGTCTGCTTCAAGATTTGACGTGTTGTGCGTTCAGAGATGGGATTCCGCACACCTTGGTTGTAACGAGTGGTTATCTTAGTTACTGTTGCCTTTCTGTCATCTCGAACCATGTATACTACGGGCGGCACATTGGTAAAGTGGATAGCACTGTGGCCTCACAGCAAGAAAATCGTGGGTTTGTATAATGATCGTCCCGGGCTTTCTGTCTGGAGTTTGCATGTTCTCCCCGTGTCTGTGTGGGTTTCCTCCGGGTGCTCCGGTTTCCGACCATCAAAAACATGTTAGGTTCTCCACTCAGTGCAGTTTGACCAGACACTGACAAAGATCTGGAGTTGGTCCCTGAAATACTCACCAGCAACCATGCCACGTCGAAAGTCAGTTTTTGTGATGCTCTGTTTGAACTTCAGCAAGTTGTCTTGACCACATCTACATGCCTAAATGCATTGAGATGCTGCCATGTGATTTGCTTATTAGTTATTAGTGTTGAACATCTAATGTGTACCTAATAAAGTGGTCGGTGAGTGCATATTCACATCCTCCATTTCACTGAGGTAAAGTTCCACCTGATGAAACTTCTGCTCCATGGGCTGCTCCCTCACTGTCAAATGGGTGAATGATTTGGGTCAACTACATAAATGAAATGCATTGCATCACGCTGTCGAAAGGGAAAAGGAAGAATTGCTACTGCTCCTGCCCACCCAGCCAGCCATCTGTTCCAAATGCTTTCTTTTGGCACAGTGTACTGGCATATTTAATCCGAGACAACCCACCCCAAGATGTTAACCTGTTTAATCAGTCCACCCGCTCCCGTACAGCCCCACAACACCCTACTGTGACTCTGATCTAAAGAGACCTGTTTGCCTTCCTACTGTTTATATACAATATACCATTACTTCGCCCATATTTATATTTCTACACCACCCTCTAATCTGAGACCTTGCTCACTCTGATATTGTTCACACCTCATACTAAAATTCAGTCCGTATAATTTATTTCAAGCACCTAATTCTTTCAAGCACAACACACTGGACCATGACCCAGCAAGACAATTTGGACTTTAATCACTGCAACCTTGCAATATGCCCAATGCTTGACTGAACTGTAAAGAAACCCAGTCTATCCTTAATTGACCTACCCATTTTCAGTATTACTGCATCTGTCCCTGTGCCATTTGTGTCAGTGTGCAGTGTGCAACAATGCCTCAAAACCAAATTCCTTATTGTAAAGCATTTTTTAACATGTCTTAAAATATATAACTTAATCTATAATCCTGACAGTTAACCACTACAATAACTGCAGTATTGTACAGTACTTTATTGACCATGGGATTTGTTCCGGACACAGTAATCTATAATACATTGTCAAGGATGTTGTCAATAAGTGTTGACAGCTTGAAGGGCAAAGCTATGTTAGTGCAGAATCAGTCATAGTTGATAAATAAGAAAACATGAACTTGACAAAAAAAAGATAATGTCATTTTATGCAATTTCAAGGTGACAAATTAGAGTTGAATGTTGCTGCCTTCTTGAATACGTCATAACTGCGTTGCCTGAGGATAACACTCATTACAAAAAATAAAGGTATTGCTATTGTTAAGTGTGGTGATCTTTCAGCACATGTTAACTCTCTAAATGATGCCATCATACTCAATAAAATAATATACTGTGATTAGTGGCTTCAGAGAAAAAAATGTTGTATGGTCCTGCTGTGTTGTCAAGCTAGTAGTAACAGCAACCCTTGTATGTACATTGCCAATGAGACAGTGACACTTTATTTTGCTTAAAAATCAGTGGCATTTTGTAGCCTAATGACATGTGGTTTGATGTTGTGCTAGTGTACACCGACAACTCATCACTAAAGCTGTCATCACATTAAGCACATTTTACTGTAGTACAAACATTTCCTTGTTAGAACACATCCTCTTGTGACACTTTTTAGGTGCCAAATATAGTCAGAGCTGTCTCTTCCTCATATCTTGGCACATTTAAGAAAATCAAACCTAGTAGATTGTCATGATTTGGCTTGCTGCCTCCCCTGTCCTAGTGTGTTCTGTCTGTTTTCTCTCTCCCTTGTGTTTTTGTTTTGTCATCTGTCTGTCCTGTGTTGTGTGGCCGTGGCACTCTTGGGTCTCTCTCTCCTCATCAGGACACCTGTGGCTTCCTACTCACCTGAAGCAGATTCTGCAATCGCCTCTCCTGTTTTAAACTCCGGCTTTCCAAACATTCTCTGCCAGATTGTCTGTTCACCCAAGTGGTAGCTGTTATTATGGCTAGCTTAGAGTTTTTTTTTTTGCCTAGTCTGCCTTTTGAATCTCTCGTTTTGATACTTGTCTGACTGCATGTTTTTGCTCCTGCACCACATACCCGCTTCTGTTCTGAAAGTCCAGCCTGCCTGCCTGAGCTGAATAGTTTTTTGGACCAGCCTCTCGCCTGTCTGCCTGTACTCAGCCCCAGTCTCACAGAGGATTTCAAAGCACCATTCCAACATATTGTTCAATAAAACCTCTGTCCCTGTTTCTAACCATGACTCCGTGTCTGCTCCTGAATTCTAGACAGCCTAGCCTAACAGTAGATAGTATTTATAATGCATGTTCATGTCTTGCTATTAAGCTTTTTCTGGTATGGAGAAGTTAGTAAACATGGATCAAGACTAATTACAAGCTGACTGTCCAAATTTTTAAATGGAAAAACTTGCAGACTATAAACTTCACAGCAGCAACATGTGATGTGCGTTAACCGTTAGGGATCAGGTCTGAAAAGCCAACACAGTCTTTCCCCATTGTTTCACTCAATTCGTCAGTAAATGCCATAGCAAGCAAATGTGATTTGCTAATGAAAAGTAATTAACTTAATTTCAGTACATTTACATCCTTAGTTAACATTAGGACTAGTTAGTTAACTTATTCTTCCCATCTAATTTGTAACTACAGGACATCTCTCCATCTCCCATTACTATAGTGCATTGTGTTTTACTTTCTGCCATATTATAAGTGACATGCGTCCTTAGATCTATTCCTTTTTTCCGACTGAATCCTTTTTGTGTTTAAGCCGCTGTGTTGTTGTCATTAACTCGATGTCAGTTTCGGTCAGTATCATCTGGGATTCTGCACATGTCAAATCAATCTACACATCTCAGTCAAAGACAGGGATGCATTGTTTATATTTTGACAGACAGACAAAACTGGGGGAAAATATAGGAGATAAAAGTATGTCTCTCTGTGTGTTTGTACATGTGAATGCCTCAGTGCAATGATAACCCTGTATTCTCTCAACCCAGACAGTTTCTAATCCTGCGAGGCAAGCCACTCCCCATGTCCTTCCTCTGTCTTTCACTATCTTATCGCTGCCACATTCCTTTCCTTCCCTTCCTCCACGCGGACTCTCCACCACGAGATGGCAATTACAACTCTGTTGACACGCTGACTCCACAGGGGCCTTTGCTTGCTGCTTCTGTCCTGCAGCATCTGTCTGTCTGTACGTCTCTCTCCTTTGTCTCTCTGAGTTTGAATGTTTTTGTCTTGCTGTGTTTCTGTCACCTCTGTTTTTCCCTCCTTCTTCCTCACTTTTGCACCCATGGGTGTCTCTTTCCGTTTTTTGTCCCCCCACCAACTGTCCCTCTGTTTTTTTTACATTCTTACTGCACATGATGTGACTCTCTCCCTTTTAACTTTATTTCATGTTATTGTTTTCAAGTTTCGCTTACCTTTCTTGACTTTCCCCAGCTGCTGACTGAAGACTTTCTGCAGAAGTGAGATGCTGATTTAAGATTAAGGATGCCTATCATGACATCCTTCAGGTTGTAGCAGTCATCTGAAGTTATGAAACTGATGGCCAGACACAGGTGACCAAAACGCCTTGATCTGCCATTGCGGTGAAGGTAGGTCTGCGCACTGCATTGCCGTGTGTATCATGTAGATACACAACTGTTGAGCTTAGTGAATGTCTTCTATTTTCATTCTTTTTTGATTTTTTTTTTATCAGGTTTTCTTCATCTTACAAATTATTTCAAGAGCGCTGAGGGGCTTTCATTAAGTCACTGAGATAAATGATATCAGACCCAGGAGCACAATGCAGTTTCACTGCTGGCTTTATGATGTGAAAACAGCTTTATTTTTGCTCTTTAGTGCTATGGGAGGTTATGCAGGGACAGCCAGTAGATCTAAGAATGTGTCAGCTCTATGAGCGCGTGTGTGTGTGTGTGTGTGTGTGTGTGTGTGTCTATACGTGCTGTGGAAAAAGGCCAAGTTAGTTGGCAAGACTGTGTTCAGTGTCAGCTTTTATTGGAAATCACGCAGTGTGGAGAAAGCACTGCTTTTAGTAGCTCTTATTAAGTGTGGATATAAAACACTATCTTGAGCAGCTGCTGTGTGTAGTCTTTTGATATCCATGTAATATGGCTGTAGAAAATGCAGCTGTCTGGTGTGAGAGTGAGAGAACTCTTGACTTTGTGGATGTACATTTAAGACTTAAATGCATAAAAGACTTTGTAATTATTGCCATATATATTTGAATTCAATTTGAATTCAAGGAAAGGGAAAATGTAATCCTGCTTTTTCAATATTGACAAACCCTTCTCTAACTGTAGACAGTACAAACAGTAAAACACTAATACTGAGTATGGCATAAGATAAGGAATAATATAATTTTACTTGGAAGTTGATAGGTGTAAAGAAAGTCAACTACCGTCACTGTGACAATGTGCAACTAACATTCAATGTGTTGAGCCACTGGCACAAACATACAGTCAATAACAGGCACATTCAGAAGCTACTATTTAGCAACAGGGCCTATTCAGAGCAACATTATAACAGCAATATGTCTGAGTGAATTAAATTAATTGTGGTTGGTGTGTCTGATTAGTAGATTTGCTCAAAATAGAACCACATGGATCTTCCACATGAAGTTCAACTTTCGTGAACCCAGCTCAGCATCCCTAGAAAGCATGTCTATATTGGACCATTCTCAAACTCAAAATTTCTGTCAACTTCTAACATTCGGAAAGCAGGAAGCAGTGTGCCCCTTTATCTAGGAAAGGGGAAAGTAAGGGTGTGGAAGTTGGGATGGTGGATGGGCATGTAGTGACTTGCATGCATTTTACTTGCATTCAGCTGGGAGATGGGAGTAAATGGTCAAATATTTCTTTTAAACTGTGTTCTCTTAACTTAGTAAGTTGGACAAGGGGAACTGCAACTGTTCTAAACCATTGGAGGTGCTGAGAATAGACTTTTAAAAAAACAAAAACATTATGGCGTCATTTCAAATGAATTCCCATCTCAATATCATATGGGTCAGTTAACATGCATCATTTAGAACACACAAAGTTTGATGTGATAAATCTTTAAAAAAAACAAATAATACAATTAACAATGAAGAGGTATTAAGCTATATCTATACAGTAGAAAAACTATCATACACACACTATATTTAGATACAGCTTCAAAGGACTTATGTTGTCATGTTGCTGAAAACTACCATTCCACTAGACTCTGTTGGGACAATTGTACCATAATGCCTCAAATTGCATCTAATTACCAGATACTATACTATTTTATAAATAGAATAATGCAAAAAAACCTGTCAAAACCTGATAAGATCTAATTTTGAACTGTGGAAATATCTCACACACTAGGAAAACATGTCACACTGTAACGTAAATTCTTGAGCTTATCTGTGATGCATGCTTGCTGTGGATCAATAATAAATGCATTTTGTGCAGTCTTTGCCCACAGTTAAAATGAATCTACCATGTCCAATAACTTTTTTTCCTTTTGGAATTAATTGAATTAGCAGAAGACAAGCAAGGGGGAATTGTTTTGAGAGCGCATACACAGCAGTGAGCAGTGTTAAATTTTTAAGTCTCAACCAAATATTAGCTTGCATATTATTCTGCATCAACAACTGATGGGTCTGAGATCACATCAGAGACAGTCAGCATGTGTGTTAGACCGGCATGGAAAGATGGAGGTAGACACATGCTGAGGAAATAGAGAACATGCAAACACATGTACAGCATGTGATGTGTGATTGTAATGTATTTGTAAGGGACTCCTTTAATAAATACTACTTGCGTGTGTGTGTGTGTGTGTGTGTGTGTGTGTGTGTTCAAGGGACTGTTGAGGACAAGGAGCCAGAGGGACATGAGGAAGCTGTTTGATGTCATCACCATGTGTCCTTTCAAGTTACCCTTGGTTCTAATCTATGGCGGGACGCTGTCTGAGTCCCTCATTAGTTACTGGTACCTCTCTTTAGTGTAACATCAACCTCCAGAGGCAAGGTTGACTTGTGGACTGAATATCACTGTGAACAGACATGTGGAGAAGATAGATTTTCAGTAATATTAACGTAACATAAATAAGGGCATGAAAATGATGATAATGTGGTTTCCTCGTCTGTGAGTGATCCAGTAGTACGTCCGAGTCTGAAAAATACTGTCTGTATTTACATGCTCACCACCACATTATTTTTCATCATCAGAGAGACGATTGTGGAGCAGAAAGGTAGTAATGCATTCTAATTAAATGGCTGAGGTCCAGCAAACAGAGATTACTGACCTTACATCTTATGAGGTCGTAACCCACCACTGTTAACCGGTGTGTTATTTTGTACCAGAAGTCTGTGTAATCAAACTCAAGTCAGGTGGGATTTGACCCCCTAACCCGCCAGATGCAGGCACCTTTATCAGCAGATTAAGGGTGCACCTTGAGGTCACACATACGCAATGTAAACACATACACACCACAAAGAGAGGTATGCACAGAAAGGAACAAATAAATATGAAGATGCTTGTGTTTGTAAAGATGTTTAATTTCCTGCATGTTTACTAGCTATGTTTTTGTGTGTTTTATTATAAGAGATAACTAGTAATATTACTTTGGTAAAATGTTTTTTTAATATGGATGAAAACACACCTACCCAGCTGTTAGGGTCTTATTTTCATGGCAGTGGGGGTCAAGGGCAAAGACCTTGTGCCAGCAAATGGGTAATTTCACTGCAAGCAGTTTTAGTTTTTTCTGCTTTTGTGGCTTTCCTTGGCATTGCCTGTGCCAAAGTATGTGAGTAGTATAAAAAATAAAATGCAGTCTGAAGTGCAAGTGTGATTGGAATCTTAAAATGAACTTGAGCCCTGCTATATTCAGGTCCACTCTGATCCAAAAGGCCTGCATCAGGTGCTGTTTTTACAGCATTATTTTATTCATACTGTGATTGGCTGTCACTTTGAAATAATTGCAACAAGTAAGTATGTTGACCCGTGCCAACGACCCCACTGATGTTAAATAGCTGAGTTTCCCTGCCAGTCAGTCAGAACTGAAGAAGTCCTTTGGATGAGGGACGAAACGTCTTCCAGTATCTTCAACCAAGTCCAGTTGCCCTTGATTTTAACCTCGTTGGATAAGTATGTTTACTTTTACTTGCAACTTTACAAATTTTCACATAATGTCAGGGGTAAACAAATACACACTACTGAATGCTGAAACAGACTAGTGCTGGGCAATGATTAAAATTTTAATCGCAATTAATCGCATGATTTCCTGCGATTAATCGCATTGCTAAGCGCAAAATTGAATAATGAATTCTAGTAGTGTATTGCGCACTTTTAATTTAAATGTACTGCTATATACACAAAAGTACAATAATATGTGGTGTATAAGGTGCTTTTTACCAGCAGTATTCCCTTTACACAGTAGCAATAAAATATTTCTTATAAATCTCAACTTAAAGTCCCTCAATGTAATCAAATCAATTATAAAACCAGAGCTATTAGCCACTGCCAGGGCATTCCCTTTTATCTAGCTTGTTAAAACGCCATCAGAGTGCAGTTTTCTGGGGGGGGGGGGTTCTGAACAGGTATCAGCAGAAACAATTTTTTTTTTTATCAGCGAGCAGCATAAACAGTCTATATTCACTAGCAAGTGAGTCAGAGTCAGTTGAAGTGGTTGAGCACAAGGCGTAGCGACATGCGGGTGCGTTCCCGTGAAACTGCCGCCGTTGTGCCCGCCTCATGCACACACCCGCCCCCTGCATGCATGAGAGACTGATCCTCGCTGTTTGTTAGTTTCCAGAATCTATTACTGTTTACCAAATAGTTACCAGGATATTAACATTTATTCATTTAGCTGACGCTTTTATCCAAAGCGACTTTGGCGACTGGCAGAGCATTCCCGCAAAACTAGATGAAGGCCTATCAGGTAAAGTTATGTAGCCTATAATTTTAACTTAAGTTAAATAGGCTACAGCTGTGTAGTGCACATAAGCCGTTGCCATGGTTACTCTCAATAGAACGGCAGCCTTTTACTTTTTGTCTTATTTCTCCCACACGCTGCATTGAACGTAGTCTGCCAAAGCCTCCCTCCACTGCTTGTTTGGGTGGGTGATTTGCAGGCTGGTCAACATCCCACCCCTCCTGTGGCCCATGGTTTGACTGTATGTATATTCAGAGCCAGTGAGCAATGGACTTTCAAAATAATAAGAATTTTTTTTTTTAATAACTGCATTAACTTGCAATAATGTGATAAATCGTTAACGTGCCCAGCCCTAACTGATGCAAATATTAAACATATTAAACACTGCATAAATAATAAGGCAACTCTTAATCATCACAGTATAACACCATGTTAATTAAACTTCATGGATATCTATCTGTCCAATTAGGAAGCATAAGCAATTGTGAATCAATTCAAATGAAAGTGACAGTAACAGGTGCACTGGAGAGGCAACAGCAAGACAATACCCCAAAAAGGAATGGTTTTGCAGGTGGTGGCCACAGACAATTGCTCTCACTTCATCCTTACTCTAGTTTTGCATTTTGCTCGTGTCCTTGTCACTACTCATAGCATGAGGTGGTACCTTCAGCCTATCCAGGTTCCACAGCTGGTCCAGCTCCTCCAGGATGGCACATACATACGTGCCTTCGCAAGAAGGTTTGCTGTGTTTCCCAGCACAGTCTCATGAGCATGGAGGAGATACCAGGAGACATTATACTAACAGAGCTGGACAGGGCAGTAGAAGGGTATCAACCCAGCAGCTGGACCAGTATTTGCTCCTTTGTGCGAGGAGGAACTGGAGGAGCACTGCCACAGCCCCACAAAATGATCTCCAGCAGGCTACTGGTGTGCATGTTATTTACCAAACTGTCAGAAACAGACTCCATGAGGGTGGCATGAGGCTCAATGTTCTCTAGTGAGATCTGTCTAGAACCTATGTTGTCTTGCTTGAGAGGAGAGGACACTGGCGTTTGTTGTTCCTCCATTTTTCTCGTTGTGAACAGTATTTCTCTTTTGAGATTTTGCACAGATTGATACGAAATTGAAGGCTATTAACTCCCCTACTGCCATCTCCTCCAACATCAGCGGATCGTTGGTCACATCCCGCTGTCAGTGGTGAACACCTGGACTTCACTGTTGTTCCAGCAGCTGCTATTACGATGTCTTCCCACTGCCTACACTGTCCTCATTTAAATGCCCAGCATTTAGATGTAAACTTCCCCATGACAATGCTCCTCATCTACCGGCCTCCCAAACAACTCGGCTTTCATCTCAGAGATCCAAGACCTTCTCACAACACTCTGCACCACCTCTGCCAACATTAGAATACTTGGGGATATTAATATTCATGTAGACAACCCCTCCTGCCACTTTGCATCTGAGTTTCTGCAACTACTGGACTGCTTCAACCTCCAACAACATGTTGAGGTCCCCACACCAAAGACAAGCGTCAAATCTGCTTTAGGGACCTGAAAAAGATCAACCCAGACACTTTGACCATAGACCTCCAGCATCTCTCCTCTGCTGATTTCTCTTCAGTCACTGAGTCGGTTGGCTTGTACAACCAATCTCTGAGCAGTCTCCTAGAGCTCCACTCCCCTGTCAAAACTAGAACTGTCAGCTTTGTGCGCTCAGCGTACACCTGCAAACTCACTGTACATAGGCAAGCCTACCGAGAGCATCAGAAGTCCTATACATGGTCCTTGAGAGATGCACATTCACAGCTCTATTCCAACATTATCAACAATAGCCCTGGCAACTCCAAGCAACTTTTCTCTACCATAAATGACCTCAAACCACAAACTCACTCTCATTCAGGTTGAGGACATCATCAAAAAGACGAAACCGTCCACTTGTGCCCTGGACCCCTTCTCCACAGCCCTGGTAAAATCCAACCTCCCTGCCATAAGTCCCATGATCATGACGGTCATGAACTACTCCCTCCATGCTGACCATGTTCCATCCACACTGAAAACCGCTGTCATCAGGCCACTTCTCAAAAAATCCACCTTAGACCGAGAAGTCTTTGCCAACTACAGGCCCATCTCCAACCTTCCATTCCTTTCCAAGGTGCTGGAAAAAGTAGTTGGCGCACAGCTTCAGGACCATCTAAAACAAAACAACCTGTTTGAGAAATTTCAATCTGGTTTCCGCCCTGGCCACAGCACAGAAACAGCTGTGGTCAGGCTAACAAATGACCTGTTGATGACAGCAGACGCGTGCTCCCCATCTCTTCTCTTCCTCCTGGACTTGACTGCAGCTTTCGAAACTGGACTACAACATCCTCCTTCAACATCTACATTCCACCATCAGTCTTTCTGACTCTTTCAATGAGTGGTTCTCATCCTACCCCACTGGGATAACTGAGCATGTCACCTTGGGAAAGGCTAAATCACTGACACATAACGTCACCCGAGGTGTCTCTCAAGGCTCAGTGCTTGGCCCCTCCCTGTTTATTCTCTACATGCTCCCCCTTGGCCATGGCCATGTTCTTTCCACTGCTATGCTGATGACACTCAGCTCTACCTCAGGACAAACCCAACCCGCTCTGCTGCCCTGCCATCGTTCACTCTGACCACCTGCCTGGAGGTGTGGATGAAGCAAAATGTTCTGCAGCTAAATAGCTCCAAGGCTGAAGCCATCTTTGTCGGCACACCACACCAGGTTTGGTCATCCGTCATTACCAGCATCACCTTCTCTGGCCAAGATATTCCACTTTCAACATCAGCCACCAACCTGGGTGTTAGAATGGACTCTCATCTGAGAATTGAGGCTCACATCAAACATCTCTGCAAGACCTCCTTCATCCACCTCAGGAATATTGCCAAACTCCATCCCACACTCACTCCTGCAGATGTGGAAAAGCTTGTCCACACCTTTTTCTCCTCCAGGCTGGACTACTGCAATGCGCTCCTCACTGGGATCCCTGAGAAAAGCCTTCAGAAGACGCAGCAGATCCAGAACAGCACTGCTAGGATCCTGTTGAGGGTGCACAAACACAACCACACCACCCCCATCCTCAAATCACTCCACTGGCTTCCTTTCTCACTCAGAATTGAGTACAAGGTCTCCCTCCTTACCCACCAGTGCATCCATGGTGAAGACCCCCCCTACCTCAAAGAACTCCTCACCCCACAGACCTCCACACATACCCTCCGATCTGCCTCAGCGTATCTCCTGAAACCTCACAGGACCAAGCTCCATACAATGGGAGACCTGGCTTTCTGCTCAGCTGCTCACAGTCTGTGGAATGCTCTCCCTGTGGATCCTTTTACACGTGGCCTTAAAACCCACCTTTTTAGGAGAGCTTTTGATTGAATTCTTGCCCCTTTCCTTTGCCTTATTGTTTTTGTTTTCATGCTTTTCATGTTTTTAGGACCTGGGTTGGGAGGGTTACTTTAAAAATGTAATCTGGTACAATTACTAGTTACTTGTCTAAAAATGTAATCAGTAATGTAATCCAAGTACCACAAGATAAAAGTAATGTTTATGATTACTTTTGGATTATTTCCAAATAATGCTACTCCGTGCTGCT